CCGTCGTCGTAGTAGTAGTTTAGTGGTAGTAGTAGCAGTAGTAGTAGTAGTAGTAGTAGAAGACGCGGTACCAGTAGTAGTAGTAGTCGTAGTAGTAGTAGTAGTAGTAGTAATAGTAGTAGTAGTAGTAGTAGGAGCAGTAGCCGTACCCGTAGTAGTAGTAATAGTAGTATGTTTACTAGTAGTAGTCGTAGTAGTAGTAGTAGTAGTAGTAGTAGTAGTAGTAGTAGTAGTAGTAGTACTCGTCGTCGTCGTAGTAGTAGTAGTAGTGGTAGTAGTTGTAGTAGTAGTGGTAGGAGTGGTGGTGTAAGTGGTAGTGGTAGTAGTAGCAGTAGTAGTGGCAGTAATTGTAGTTAGCCGAAGTAGGAACCGTATTGGACGTACTAGACGTAGTACTCGTGGTGATAGTAGACGTCTTAGTAAGAGTGCACACCTGCATGCTTTAGCGTCTGAGGCAGAAGCTTCTGAGGGAGGGCTTCCTCGCTGTATGCGCCGGCGGGCGCCAGAGAGTCATTTTCTCACCATTTATCGGCTGGTGGTTGTTGTTAGGTGGTTGTTACTCCCAGCGGATAATGCCTCCTGCTCGACCTTGCACGACAGTGAAATTTTGAGCATTCTTTGCGCAAGGACTAACAGATAATCCGATACATCTCCAATCGAGCCATCGCGTCCAATCGAGTCGGCACGAAAACGGCTGGCCTGTACGTGCACGGAGCCAAAAATGGAGTAGGGGGAGGAGAAGGAAGAGGAGGACGACGACGACGATGACGACGACGGCGGCGACGACGACGAAGGCAGAGCCCTCAGCGGTGATCGCTGCAGGGGGATGATGATTTTCCAAGTATTGTTGGGGTCCTAATAGGTAAATCAGCCCCCGCAAAACATTAGCATTTTCCGTGATTGTGTGGGGGGGCATTCAAGACTTCTCGCGGCTACACACTTACGTCGGCCCTGGCCCCAGGTTCGGGTTTTTCGCCTCCTGCGGCGAGCCTCCTGGCCAAGCCAGGAGGGTGTGCGCACCGACCCTGGACCCAGGATGGGTCTGGCCAGGATCGGTGTAGGTGTCAAGGTCTAGTTGGTTCTGGGCGCTTTTGCTGTAGGCGCACCGTTTTATAAGCCAGCCTGCCAGCAAGGGCCCCGCTGAAATGTTTTGTTCCCCCGATGGCCCCGAGGACCCACAGAAGTCGTGGGACGCCTTCGGCAGTTGACCAGGTCGACGACAATGTGTTCAGGCCGGAGAAATGCAGCAGAAAGGCGTCGGTGAGGGCTTTGATCGTTATATTGAACGATGTGTTAATGTTCGCGCCAGATCTCAGTGGGTCTTTCGCAGCAAGGTTTCTCATCCCATGCGCCTGCTGCGTAACTCCTCTGTACGCCCGCTCTGATACGCAACGCGGGCCGTGCTCAAAACGTCCGTGTCAATACGTCGCGTGTTGGCTCAACCTATTGGACCACGCTTTGGCGAACGCATCGCGTCAGACCAAGTGTTCAGACTACGTGTTGAGCTCCGTAGCAATACGCAGCGTGCTGCGTGTCGCGTGTCGGGCCAGCTACGGCCTGCTGCCGTCCAGGCCGCGGGCCCCGGGCGGGTGTGCCGCGCCGCTCTCTCGGAGGAGGGTCAGGTGAGACAGCGGCGGCGCGCCCGCCTGGCCGACCATGTGTCCTCAAAATCGGTTCCCGGACCCCGTCGGGGCCCCACGGCGGATCCGGCCGTGGCGGCGCAAAAGCCTGCAGGAGCCCCAAGCCAGCACGACAGAACGCCACGGAGGGCCGCCGTCGTCTCGGCTTGGTCCTCCTCCGACGCTCGCCGCCGAGCGGAGGGTGCACCTCACCTGCGCCCTCCGGGGGCCTCAAGCGGGGCTCGGGGCTCGGTCGCGGCCGCGAGGAGCACAGCGTGGACGATCTGCATGCTGCAGGATTTCGGTTCAGAAATTAGCAGGGGTCGTCGTGTTCACACGGCGGTGCCTGGGATGATGATCAGAAAAACTGGCTCCAGGTCGGGAAACTATTGGTTCAATCGTTCCCCCCCCCGCCCTCCTCGGGCGCGAGCCTGGACAGTCGACGGGCCAGACGGAGCCGAAGCGAAGCGGAAACCGAACATTCGGAAACTAGGCTGTTAATTGTCCCCCACATTTTGAATTAGTCGTGATCTGACATCTCCAGTGCGTCTTGGACTTCCTTGGAAGGGGCGCCGCAAGGCCGAGGCCCCCTGGATATGGATAAAGGTCGAGCCTCCGAGGGCCAGCCTTTGGTCCATGTCCAGGGCGGCTTGGGTTCCTGGGGGAGGGGGCCCGAAACTCCAAGCTGCAGTGAATATGGACACGAGTCTTGCCCACGGGCGATGCTCGGCCGCGGCCGCCAGAGGTTCCAGCGCGTCATGAACGTCCAGGCCCTGCCGCTGGTCGACGTGGAGCTGCGGATCCTCTGCCAGGCCCGGGAGGGGGCGACCACCCCAGCGGACACCCCTGGGGGTCGTGAGGGAATCACGGCGAGAGGCGTGGCCCTGCTTTCGGCCTCGTGCGGGCCCCGTCGGGCCCCAGGACCTTCAGGAAGCGACTCGAGATGAAGAGCCTGTCCCGGGACACGGGTCGAGACCTCTGGAGGTCGAAGCTGTGGACAAACAAGCACGACGTCGGCGGCCTGGGGCCCCATAGATCTCCTGCGACGTTTGCGGTTCTCCTCCCGGCGCTTTTCCTCTATGTTAATCCTCCGGGTGCCGTTTCCGGGTCCCCAAAGGGCGACCAACAAGGGGGGGGGGAATTTGCCCTGGGAAAGAGGTCGTGCCATCTCATTATTTTAAGTGGTCCGATACCAGCAGCGTGTCATCTGCGTACAGGATACCTCGAGTGCTTACATCATCCAGTTCTGGATCCAACTGTAAGTTTGCGAAGGCGTCTGGAGCATGATTGGCCCCGGCCTGCAGGGAAGAAAGGTATACCCCCCAAAAGGGCTCCGATCGAAGACGAAGAAGGCGGGTATCGAGGGTTTGGGAGATTCGCGTTATTGGACAATCGAGCAGATAAGGGCGAACAGTCTTAAAATGATTGTTGTTGTTGTTGTTGTTGTTGATGATGTTCTTGTTGTTGTTGTCGACCCAAGCCGCGACCCGCCTGCGACCCACCCGCGACCGTGACCCACCCGCGACCCATTCGCGACCCAGCCCGCGACCCACCCGCGACCCACCCGCGACCAGGCCCGCGACCCACCCGCGGCCCACCCGCGACCCAGTCGCGATCTACCCCGCGACCCACCCGCATTGCTTTAACTAAAAAACGGCGTCTGCGGCGGGCTCGTTGTATACCTATACGACCGCCCTGCGGGCGATAAGGAGGTTGGGGGATTGAGATCAAATGCCCACCCTGACTGGCCTCCAGCCTGTCACCTTGATGTCCTCTCTCTTTCTCTCAGTTTCTCTCCCTCTCTCTGTCTCTCTCTCTCTCTGCCGCCCTCTCTCTCTCTCCCTCTCTATCAGAGTCTCCCTCCACCACAATGATAGCGATGGATTGATGGATTGGGTTATTCAATCGCTTCGCTCATTCCGCCGGCCCATGTTGCATGATCGCTACTGCTTCGCCGTGGGCCCGGGGCCATTGTGGCGCCGCCGAGGAGGAAGAAGATGAGGATGGGGAAGGGGAGGGGAGGAGGAGGAGAGGGTGAGAAGGAGTCAGAAGGAGATGAGGAGGATGAAGATAAGTAGGAGGAGGAGGAGGAAGAGGAAGGGGCGGAGGAGGAAGCCTCTCGTTGGCATCTTGTGTTGCTCTTGGGGCCAAACAGGGTCGTCGTCAAGATGCTTCTCTGGGAGGCCTCTTGGGGTCTTTTCAGAAGCCGTTCGAGGGCGCCTGGGAGGCATTTTTGAAGTCTTCTGGGGGGCCTCCTGGGGGCCTCCTGGGACCTCTTGGGGGCCTCTTGGCGGCATCTTGGGGCCTCTTTGGGGCCTCTCGGGGCCTCCTGGGGCCCTCTTGGGGCGGAAGGCTCGAGGTTTTGGTTCGTGGTCCCCCTCTTGGGCCCCTCTTGGGGCCGTCTTGGGGCCGTCTTGGGCCGTCTTGGGCGCCTCTTGGGTCGTCTCGGGGCCCTCTTGGGCCCTCTTGGGGCCCTCGTGGAAGCCTCTTGGCCCGTCTTGGGGTGCTCTTGGGGGCCTCCTGGGCCGTCTTGGAGCATCGGATGGCCGAAAAGGGGACAAGGCCCAAATTCTTTCAAAACCATCGTAAAATGTCTGATTTGGGCCTCTCAGGGCCCTCTTGTGAGGCCTCTTGGAGGCCACTTGGAGGCCTCTTGGGCCGTCTTGAGGTCATCATCGGCGTCTTGGAGCGCTCTTTAGGCGTCTCGGGGGCCCTTTGGGCAGTCTTGGGGGCCTCTTGGGGCACTCTTGGCGCGCTCTGGGGGGCCTGAGAAGCCACACCCAGGAGGAAAACCATCTCTGAGTAGCAGTGGTCGGGCGGCGGTCGGGGTACTTTTCGCCGGGGGACCCCCAGGGGCCGCCCCGCGCGCGCGAACTAGAAGTATTGTTTAGCAGTTACCGGAGATCTTAGCACGCCTTTGGCCCGTTGGGCCGGCGAATTAATAGCGCCGGCACGCCCGGGACACCCGGGACACCCGGGACACCGCCAGGCCCAACTGGGACACGTCCCGGCCACCGGCAGACGGGAAACGGACTTTCGCTCCACACCCGGGACACCCGGGACACCGCCCGGCCCAATTGGGATACCTCCCGGCCACCGGCGGACGGGAAACGGTTTTTCGCTCCTACTTCGGCCTAGCTACAGGAGGATCACGCGCAGCTTCGTCTCGCCCGCACGACACGAACACGAAACCGAAACCGATTTCCCGGTGGGGGGTCTCCGTTTCATTGCGATCTCACCCCCCGACCTCCTGCCTTGTAGGAATTAGGCGCCTGCGGCGGGCTTCTTCAGAGCCTCGCAGACTGCAGGCGTCCCAGCCGCCCACTCACTCTCATCCGCGACTGCGGGGTGTTGTGCTATATACTAAATTTAATGCATGTCATTTCGCTTCCCCCCCCCCGCCGTTTCACCTTCTCACACAGCGCTGGGCCGAACAAAAAGTTTCGCAAGTATGTCCCAGATCTCCTCTCGGGCCTCCCCACGCCCGCCCACCCCACGCCTCTCTTCATGCAAGAAAACCTGCCAGATTCTTCGGAAAGACTGCCGGACCTGTTCGTTCGGATTGGCGACATGAGTTGTGGGCCCCATGGGGAGGGGGTTCCCGCCTGAGATTTCCTCGCAATTCATTCACACACGAGGCTCCCGCTTGAGATTTCGTCCATTCTCAAACTTAAAGACACCAGGGATGACGACAGTTACACGATCCCGACGACCCTTTCGGATTAGAAACATGCGCTGCGGGCCCCATGAGGAGAGGGCTCCCGCCTGAGACTTCGTCGCAAGTCACTCACAGACGAGGCTCCCGCCCGAGACTTCCTCCATACTCAGGCTTCTTGAAGAGACCAAAAGTGACGACAGTTACACGATCCCGACGACCCGCTCGCATTAGAAACATGCGCTGCGGGCCCCATGGGGAGAGGGCCCCCGCTTGAGACTTCGTCGCAAGCAACTCACAGACGAGGCTCCCGCCCGAGACTTCCTCCATACTCAAGCTTGAAGAGGCCAGAAGTGACGACAGTTACACGATCCCGACGACCCGCTCGCATTAGAAACATGCGCTGCGGGCCCCATGAGGAGAGGGCCCCCGCCTGAGACTTCGTCGCAAGCCACTCACAGACGAGGCTCCCGCCCGAGACTTCCTCCATACTCAAGCTTGAAGACGCCAAAAGTGACGTCAGTTACACGATCCCGACGACCCGCTCGGATTAGAAACATGCGTTGCGGGCCCCATGGGGAGAGGGCCCCCGCCTGAGACTTCGTCGCAAGTCGCTCACAGACGAGGCTCCCGCCAGAGATTCCTCCATACGCAGGCTGCTTGAAGAGGCCAGGGATGACGACAGTTACACGATCCCGACGACCCTTTCGGATTAGAAACATGCGCTGCGGGCCCCATGAGGAGAGGGCCCCCGCCTGAGACTTCGTCGCAAGTCGCTCACAGACGAGGCTCCCGCCCGAGACTTCCTCCATACTCAAGCTTGCAGAGGCCAAAAGTGACGACAGTTACACGATCCCGACGACCCGCTCGCATTAGAAACATGCGCTGCGGGCCCCATGGGGAGAGGGCCCCCGCCTGAGACTTCGTCGCAAGCCACTCGCAGACGAGGCTCCCGCCCGAGACTTCCTCCATACTCAAGCTTGAAGAGGCCAGGAATGACGACAGCTACGCGATCCCGATGACCCGCTCGGATTAGTAACATGAGCTGCGGGCCCTGCAAGGAGGGGGCTCCCGCACGAGACTTGCTCGCAAGTCACTCACAGACGAGGCTCCTGCTTGGTCGATGCTCATGTTGTGATGGTGATAGTAATGACGATGGTGGTGTGCGATGGTGTTGATGATGGCAATGCTAATGACGGGATCATGACATGATAATGCGTGGGTGAGTGATGAGAAGGTGCGAGTGAGTGCGAGAGCGAGTGGATGATGATGGTGCGTGGTGAGTGATTGATGATGATGGCGATGGTGGTGGTGATGATGATGCTGATGATGTTGATTCTGCTGTTTCCCTGCGCGTGGTGTCCAGAGAAAACGAGAAACCCACTTAGGAAGTGGGAACAGTTGACGGTATGTGAGGATCCTGCATAGTTCTATCATCGCCCGGTGATGGGTGCCGGGCCTCAAGGTCGGTGGCCAATCGTGGCAACCGATCGTTGATTGCGTACAAGTTGCGTGAGGTCTTCGCAGCAAGGATGCCAGAAGTCGTTCGACAGTTTTCGGGGTCCCGCGGCCCTCCCTGGGTCGCCGCGGCCAATCAGAAGAATGACTCGAGAGGTCTAGCTGTTCATGGGGAAGCGCCCCAAGATCCATGGCCCGCCTCTCCCAGGACCCGGCCCACCCATGCTGAGCTATAGAGCCCATAGAGCGGGAGCACGGCTGGCCCCACAGGGAGCACACGATCCGCATGGCCAATGAATCATGCCGTGGCGACGTTGGGGTCTCTTGGGGGCCTCCTGGGGCGTCCTTGGGGCCTCCTAGCAGGCTTATTGGAAGCGCTTTGGGGCCTGCTGGGGCGTGTTGGCGTGTTGGGGGCTTCTTGAGGCTTCCTGGAGGCGTCTTGGTGGATCCCTCCTGGCACCGTGTTCAATTCAAACAACTTTTTCGCGAGTGGGTTCCTCGCAAAACTGCTTCTGGGCTCCCGATGGGTTGCAAATAAAACATCACGGGATGCGGCGCGGCCCGACGATGCCCCAAGAAGGCCCCAGGTGGCCCCAGGATGCCCCCAAGAGGCCCCGAGATGTCCCACAGGGCCTCCACATTCCACCGAAAGGCTCCAAGAATCCCGCCCAGACGCCAAGCCAAGTGGCGCCCGGTGGCGTCGAGTGACACGTTGGCTCAAGACAGCGCACTTCTCAGAGGTCTTGTCCGACACCCCTCCTCACATCAGCATAAGGGTAGCGACAGCATTCGGGAAACACGACCGCCGTGCTTGCAATGGAGGAACACGCGGAACTTCGGAAGGGATTGAGACAAACGCTAGATTGGACGGGAGCCTTCTGGGTTGCAGCTGGCGTTCCGCCACTCGTCCTCTTCTCGTTGGGAGGCATCGCAGGTGTGGCTGGCAGGACAGGATTTCTCGTCTGGAGTATTTCCATGTTCATGGGCTTCTCGCAGTCCTTCACCTATGCTGAGATGGCAGGCACGTTTAGAAGCAAGTCAGGCGGCGCATCAGTGTACGGGGCAATCGCCTGGCTCCGCTATTCAAAGTTTATCGCACCATTGTCCGTCTGGTGCAACTGGTTTGCGTGGTCTCCAGTGCTGTCTCTTGGTTGTTCGATCGCAGCAAATTATATATTGAATTTGGCCTGTCCAGACGAAAATTGCCATGGCCTTCGCACTTGGGAAGCACTCTCTGTGGCTATTCCGGGACTGGGTGAGCTCAACTTCAATGTTGTCTTCGTGATTGGCACGGCGCTGATGTCGGTGATGATTTCCATCCAACATTTCGGCATTGCTTTGACAGCATATTTACAGAAGGTACTTGCCGTCATCGTCTTGGTGCCACTTCTTGTCGTGGCGATCTTACCCATCTTCACTGGTCGTATCGTCACGGAGCACTTCGAGGATATCGTTCCGCCCAGCAGGGCGAACTCAGCCACAGACGGCTCTTGGGACTTACACGGGTTTTCCTTATTCCTTGGGTCACTCTACATGGCTGCTTGGACCACCTACGCATTTGAGACTGCTGTATGTTACACTAGCGAGTTGAAGGATCCAAGGAAAGACTCTGTGAAAGCCATTGTTTGTGCCGGCCTAGTCTGCTTCCTCTTTTTCACAATCGTACCCTTCAGTTTCCAAGGAGTTTTGAGTCGAGAGGAGCTCTTGGCTCCAAGTATCGCAGACGGCACGGGAATCGCAGAGGCTTTGGCGAGGATGGCAGGTGGAAGGTCCGCGGCCACTACGATCTTCGAGATTCTGATGGTCATTGGGCTCTTCTTGGCAATCATGACGGCGATGGCTGGATCATCCAGGACGCTGTACCAGGGCTCGAAGGACGGTTGGCTGCCCAAGTTCCTATCATCTGTGAACAGCAACGGGGCTCCAGCGGGAGCTATGTGGACTGATTTTTCTTTTAATTTGTTTTTGCTTGCCCTTGCCTCTGATTCGAATGGCTACTACAAAGTCATGTCTATTTCCAATGTCGGCTACATCCTGTTCAATTTTCTGAATCTGAATGCTGGTTGGATTCATCGATTCGACTCTAGAGATCTCGAGAGGCCTTGGAAAGCTCCGACGGCGCTGATCGGTTTCAACACATGCCTGGCCTTTGTGAACGCTGCGATCATGGGTGCTGGTGCTAAGGTTTGGGGGTACCCATACGCGCTTTGGCTTGGACTCGCGTTCGCAGCTCTGATAATTCCAGTGTTTGCTTACCGCCACTACTACGAGGATGGCGGTCAGTTCCCAGCTGAAGCAACGCTGGATATGCGCTTGGAGGACGGTTGTCTCGGGGAGCGCAAGGCGGGTGTGCTTCCGTATTGTTCGTTGGTTTTGGGGATTGCGGTGATGGTATCGGCGAATTTCATATTTGCATTGCCAAATTGATTCGCCAGGCTAAACCCGGCACGCAACCTCTTGAGACGCTTGTCGCACCGCTTCCGAAGCTTCACGAGAGTCTCACCCCGCCTAAAGGATTGCTACCGCAGGGTGAAAAGAACTTCAGCTCCATGCCTTGTCACAGGTTGCTATCATTGTGCGAGACTGCTTGTTTGAATATGATACGCACTGGTCGGATGTTGAGGCAACGCATGGATGCACAGAGCTTGCACAGAGCCGCAATGCACAACGCTGAGCCTTAACCAGGGACCAGAGATCGCGCAGCTGCCATGCCAGAAGATGCATGGCCAAGTTGCTGGAATTTACAGCGGAGGGATGGTCCCACACGAGGCCTACGAGTACAGATGAGTGCAGTTGTACGTTTTCTGCTTCCACGCATCCTGCTGACGTTATGCACGCTTCCCAATCAGGAGAATAAGGTGAATCCTGAAAAGACTCGCTACGACGCAATATGAAAACACATACACAGAATACTCGATCGTTTGTTGGAGCAGTTGGCTAGCACTGAGAGTGTCATGAGTCACGCCTGTGCCACAGCTGAAGCACGCATACACCCGCGAGTGCGGATGCGGACATTCCTTGAACGCGCACAGGCGAGTTACACATGGAAACATAAGTAGGAATATAGGTTACTAACAACGGGTCGCGCGACTTCGATCTGACTAGATTGTTTACGCGTATGTGTGTAGACGGACCTATCTGTAGTATGAGAGTGGTTTGTCATGTTGGGAACGCTTTCCATACATTCAAGCCAACCTTCCTCACGTAGGACCACCCCGTACAACTGGCGGTTCTGCTCTTTCGAGACATCCCCAGTACGTATTTGGCCCGCTCCCCGGGACCCGTTGTTCATTCTGGATATTTGCGAGCGGCCCAGGATCGTTTCAGAATGAACAGGATGTTCGGGGGAAGGGGTGGGGAGTTCCGAGGGGCCACGATATAGAGAAACACATGACGTCGTATATGCAAGTGCACGGTGCCCGGCCGAGCGATCTAAACCGACCTCGTGACCCTTCAGTAAGTCCTGGACGACACTGCAATATTCCGCTGCGAGGGCGCAGGTCTTTTCGTTCCCGTCTCTTTCTCCTCCTCCTCCTCCTCCTCCTCATCTTGTCCTCTTTGGGGGCAACTGACCATCTCACCTCACCCCTTGACCCGTCATCGCCAGGCCCATCCTGGGACCAGCCAGGATCGATCGGTGAGGTGGCCAGTCAACATCCCCAGGTCGTATTCCACGGGCGAACGAAAGAAGAGCCTCGGCCCTTGGCGCCCACCTCTCCCCGGAAGACACCCCGATGGTTGGGGATGTTGGCCCTTTCCTCGTCTTCGCCTTGCCATCAGGGTAGGAGGGAGGAGGGAAGAGGAGGGGGACGAGGAAGAGCAGGGAGTGGGAGGATCCAGGCCTCCGCGATCCCGCGACCCCATCTTCTCGGACCTAATTTCGGAGGCCTCCAGAGGAGAGGTCGACAGCGCTGCGGCACATTTGTGCCGCCTCCCCTCGGCGGCGATGCCAGCGCAGGCGTTCAGCGGCTCGGCGCCACGCAGGGAGCCCGTCTTGGGCCCAGGGTTTACACGAGACAGCCCACAGCGCGAGATCCAGACAAGAGATAGTAGGCGTCATGCCCCACAGCTTGGGGTGATGCAGAAAGGGCAACGCCTTCGAGGGATCGGAGCCCAGGTGTCGCTTCCCCGGCAGGAGGCCAGCGGAAAGCGGGCGGATGTAAAACGGGGGCGGTTTCGCCAGCGAAAGGCAGTGGAAGGTCGGCGGAAGCTCGGTGGAAGGCGGCGGCAGCAAAACCACCCCCCCAAGAGATGCCAACATGTTTTGGGGTCAGGGGTTTGGAACCCGCTACTTGTCAGATCATTTGTTGCTTGCTCGCCGCACGCTCATCTTCCCGAACACTACGGGCCTCATTCTCTTGAAGTGCCCTGGCACCACACTTCCCGAGGGGTTCTGGCATGGTCTTCCACGACCGCCCCGCCCTTCCGGCGCACCTGTCGGACTCCAGCTCAAGTTCGCCGATACGCAAAGAACGTCCTCGCAGTACATGGCTCAGAATTGCGTAGAGCAAAATCTAGGAATCCTCGTTAATTGAAGGCGTGCTGTTTTCATGTTCGCAAAGTCTATGTGTAAACATCTTCAGCGTGACGTTGAATATGCCTAGAGCGATGCTCATGATATTTGCATGGCGCTCCGTAGCCATTTTGGCTCAAGCCTTTTGGTTCAAGCGAGTTTGTTGGGTCAAGCACACCTGTGACGTTCCGAGCGTCCGCTGAAAGAATTGTCGACAACGTTGTGCCTCATGAAGCAGGCTTCTCCACGTTGCCCACTGCTGCTGTGCCAATACGTTCTGTCATCTGTACTGATACAAGTCATGATGAGGTACAGTCAGACTTCACACGCCTTCACTTGCAATTTGCGCGCGGCAGTGCGATCCCAGCGCACGATTGCGCGATCCCAGCATGCGCAAGACCTTCCTCGCTCGATCGCGACTAATGCTTTGGTGTTGCTTGATGGCGAACTCCACATTGTGCAAGAGGTGCTTCAGGGCTGGCAGGCAGGTCCAGTGCATGCAAAGCTCATGAACATGAACAGCGGGATGATTGTTCATAAATCGTGGAAGTACGGTTCGGCAATCGCTTACGTCGCAAAAGAGAGTCTTCCCGCCATTTATTCCTAGGAAAAAAACTGCCTAGCGGTAGCTCCTGTTTGGTGTTCATTGGCGACGATTTCGAAGAATTCAACGTCGACAGTGCGTTCGTGGACCTGAAGACGTTCGACGGCAGGTTGCTTGAGTTTGGTTATCGTGGCGATGTTATCGCGACGGTCGAACAAGTTGTCATGAGGAGCAGTGGTAGATTTAATCACAACAATCCGCAGCGCATATTCTAGTCAAGCGGTGAGATCGTGTGGAGGCCTCGGTACCTCAACGCTGGTGATCGTGTGATCGTTCATCCAGAAACATTCGAGCTTGTAAAGCGAATATAAAGCATGCGGCACACTGCTCGTCATTCGTTTCTTTGGTTTGGTTACGCGGGGGTTGTAGGCATCCTCCCTCCTTCCTGATCGCCCACCTTGTTCCATACTCTTCCTCATCATTGCCCCCTACAGCTGGTGCGGCGATCGTCTGCACGGGCGGTAACATGGCGTAAGCGGTTACCAGAGACGATATCAGTTAGTTGTCTGCATGGGTAAAGCTGGTCCTTAATGTAGCAACTTCCCTGTACGGCGCTGCACATCCTAGCAGCAAGCCTGCGCAGGACCATGGGACTTGCGTCATGACAGTTGGCAGTGCTGACATGTAGCGCGAAAACATATATTTGTATGGCGCTGATATTCTCCAACGGTTACACGGATGGATGGCAGTCCGTCAATTCGCGTTTATGTGTCGGATTGACCTGCAACGTATACCCCACAAGTGCTTGTTTGGACATGGCAGAGGGCGCTTGTTGTTTCAAAGTTGCGCTGTCGTTTCGGTGCCGTTGACGTTCTGCCGGAGCGCTTGATTACAGGTCAGGTTGGCTAGAGGCATGGCGGGAATATTCCGTTCTAGCGCGATGTTGAGACATGACTTGGCCGAGCCAGGCTGAGGTCACCAAGTCGAACCGCAGACGCATGAGTGTCATTACCGTTCAAGTCGTTATGGTGCCGCTTCTCACGGCAAGGCTGCTACTATTTTACATTCACCTTTTTGTCGGGAAGAGGACGAAATCGGACGAGTCAACCTTATCCCTGAGCGGCGGCAACGTTGGTAACGTTCCCAGGACAGATGCGGGCTCTGCGCAAGTGTTGTCGTCACGTAGTTACGCAGACCTCCGACGTCGTGATCTGTCCACAACGCGGATCCCCAGAGGTCTAGGCCGTTTCCCCGGGACCAGCCTTTTCATCCTGAGTCGTTGGTTTACGCTCCCCAGGGCCAGGCGAGCACCCCCAGAGGCCGAAGGGTACCGCAAATTACCCGTCGTGGGATCTTCACGACGTTGGCGGCTTTGCGCACTCTGTGTTGCGCCCCGCTCCCGCTCCGTGGAGTCCCAGATGTCCCAGGACCCATGCGATCTTTCAGGCCTCCCAAATGTGGTCCGAGTTGACAGGGTCGAAGGATCGCGCCCCATCGCCGATGTATCCGCGATACCGGCTCGGTGTGGAGCCAGATCTCCTCCACGCCGACGGCGCCGACGCTTCGCCGACGGCTGCGCCTTCTGCGCAGGTTGATCGCCGATGCATCGGCGATGTGGCGCGATCTTCCGACCCCATCTACTCGGATCCCATTTGGGAGGCCTCTAGTTGCGCCCCGCTCCCATTCTGCGCAGCCCTAGATGTCTCAGGACTTATGCGATCCTCAATCCTCGGTATCCGGTGGTGGCAGGGGCTGGGGCAATTTGGCCACCGTCTCTGGCCGCGCAGTCTGCCCAGGCCGTTCCGAATGGCTGGGGAGTCTGGGGTCGTTGCGGTCGGGGTCGTCCCCAGGCGGATCCTTTTTAGAGCTCTTTCCTTGCATCCGAGTGCGGCTCGTCTGGGACCTCTCTGCTGTTTGGGTGCTCCCCCTCTTCTTCTGCCCCGTCTGCCTGCAGGCCCCCGGGGCAGCAGCAGAAGTGGATCCCCCCCCCTCACCAGAGCAGTGTCCGAGGAGGGCTGGGCCAGGATGTAATACGAGGCCATGCCGAGGAGGGTCCTCCCCCGGCTGCCCTTTGGTAGCTGTCCCCGCAGCGCCCACTGCCCGCCAACTGCGGCCGCCATCCATCCATCCCCCTGCCCCCCTCCGATCCTGGATCTCCTCGATCCTCCGCCTCCTCGATCCTCAGCCTCCTCGATCCTCGACCTCCTCGACCCTGGATCTCCTCCTCGCTCCCTTTTCCTGGACCCTCGAGCCTCGATCCCCCCCCGCCGTGCCGCAGCAGCCCGCCCGCGGCCGGGGCCGCCCCAGGCCTTCGGGGGCCCGTCGCCGCAGTCCCTCTTCAGGCCGCGCCGCCGCAGGGCGGGGGCACCCGCCCTCCGGCCCGAGCAGGGCTGCGGATCAGAGCAGGAAGAGGTACACATTGTTGATTTCCAATTCTTCGGAAGTTCTTTGATTTTTTGGGGGGCTAAGATCCTTTCACTTCCAATTGTTCTATCCTGGGCATCTTCCTGGCTACTAGGGGGCAAGGAACCACTGGAAACAAGCACAATTAGAAATGGGCACGATTAGAAATGAACGACGTGTACCTCCAGGCCTCCCAGATGGGGTCCGAGCAGATGGGGTCGGAGGATCGCGCCGCATCGCCGATGCATCGGCTGCGGCTCGATGTGGAGACGGTGCTTCCCCGCGCCAGCGTCGCCGATGCACCGCCAACGTATCGGCAAGGCATCGTCGGCGATGCATTGCCGATGTATTGGCGATGCGGAGCGAGATTCCGACCCCATCCGCTCGGACCCCATCTACGTAGGAGGCCTCTAGTACCACTACCGGTACCCTTCGCACGTTTTCTTCCTTTGGGCCACCCGGGCGGCCCTCGTCGCCACGGCTGGACTCGTCTTGAAATTCTGGTCAGAGCGCACCCTGGAGAGGTCCGGGGAGTAGTGGTATCGGTACCTTTTGGTCTCCCTACGGGAAGTATCCCGGAGTTTCGGATTTGGAGTCGAGGGTCGAGACCTCCCCCCACCCTCATATCTGGGCGATGCAGTTTTTGCACAAGGAGCGTTTTTACGCCCGCTATTCGGGCCCTAGGACCCTCACAGATCGATTGAGCTCGAAGAATGCAGCAGAAGGATGGGGTCTAAGGTTCTGGTCGTGCTTTCAGCGATGTTTCATTTTCCTGCAGCGTCAATATCAAAGCACCTCTTCGTGTCACGAGAAGACGCCACATAGGAACAAGCAGTCATGATGATGGTCGGTTCCAGGAATTCCCCATATCTCCGATTGTCATGTCAAGGCTCCAAAAACGAGGGCCGCCAAATATGCCAGATATGCAGGAAATTCTGGAACGTATCTTGAGCCAATCCTATGATAACATGCTTCGTCCTGCAGTCGAGCATCTGATTCAGAAACCTCTTGAAAAGCTGGGCCGTTTCTTAACCAACTTGCCCGAAAGCTGGCCCAGTTTTTTTCGCACGCTCGCCCCTCCAGCATGAACAACAGAAATTGGCCCGGGCTTGTTTCAAGAAGCGTCTGGGAAGCTGGCCCAGATTCCTTACATGATAATTCTCTTGATCGTATTTTGGGCTGTGATAACAGCGGAGGATTTCGCGACAGTGCTCGACAACCAGAGGCCGCATCCTGGCCCACGGGCGAGGCCGCGGGGGAGGAGTCGAGGAAAGGTGTGCATCGAGCAGATCCGAGTGCTGGTCGTTTCGGTCGGCTGGTTCGGTCGGTCCAGCGCCTCTTCCACCGTAAGCACGCTAACGGTGGTGTAGGCAACGTCGATATAGGTTTCGGTGTTGTGGGTGGGGATGGTCCGTGGCCAACCCTGTTGTAGGGAAGCGCTGTTCGAACTGTCCTACAATCCCAGACATGCGACGTCTTGAATTTTTCAGGACGGCGTCCCTGGAAGTCCAGACCCTTTCTCCGGGGCCGGTTTTTCATCCTGAAGCGTTGTTTGATGGTCCCGCGTCCCGGCGAGGGCCCCCAGGGGCCAAGAACAGAGAAACATTTCCCGTCCTGATTTTCTTACGACGCGATCATGTCTGGCATCTGTTCTGCGCGAGGTCGGCGTCGCAAAGACCAGATTCCCAACATCGCCGTTGACCAACATCGCCGTGAGTGCGGCCTTGCTTCAAGGCCGCCTGCGGCCTGCCGGTCTCGGTCGGGGATTCGGTTGTGGTGTCGCCGTGGGCGGCCTCGAGGCTCCATCGCGGGTGCCGCACAAGTGGTTGCCACGTCTGGTGAAGTCGGGTCGCCGAGGTGCGCCGGCAAGGCAAAGCAATTTGGCCACAGAGAAGATCACAGGAGCACCACTGGGAACCCAAGGCTCGGCGACAAGCGTATTCTGAGAGCTCGCATGGCAAGATCTACGTTCGTATGTGTCTAGTAAGCCTCCGATCCCTCCTGAGGAGCCCTCCTGCCTCCTCAGACGGACTCTTCCCTCTCCCCGCACTGTTTGGTGCGCGCTCGTCGGCGAGAGATCCCCCAAGGGGCGAGCGCGCGCCCGAGGTGCCACGATTTCGTGGAGGCGCTGGAGAAGGCCCCGCGGCCCGCAGGGCTGTCGTGGAAATCCGTGGCTCTTTTTCAGACGGCAGGTAACGGAGTTCAGCGCAAACGCGGCTCAGCCAGAGCGCCGGGTCCTGCAGGATCGCGTGACCTTTCCGCGTCACATTCCGCGTCTCCACCCCAGCACGCGTCATTGTCGTGTCACCTCTGCCAATCATCTCTCGCACACACTTATACATTCTCTGGTCAGCCCGCTGGTTCAAAACAAAGAGGGTCGCGTCAGCTTGTGCCCAGAACGTTCTCAGGTGATCGGGCAGTTCAAAAAGCATGTTCAGTCGTGACCTTAGTTTTTGGGGTATCTGATCTCGGAGTCCTGGAGCCCAGGCAGTGTGTGAGAAGATGTGGAGTAGGTGCTCATGGCGTTTCCATCGGGCCACATGAAAGGGGGGCATAGGGAAAGGGGGGTACGAAATCCGCTGCATGCAGCTGGTTTCCGCCCCGCCGCCGGGCCCAGTCCTCGATACATGGGCGCCTCCCGGCGCCAATGAACGCCAGGAAAACCAGCTACGTGAGCTGATTATCTACCCTGCCCTTTGCTATCCTACCCGTTCGTGCCCCCCGCTTCCAGGTGCCTGGCTTGGCCACCCTTCTCTTCTCTGCCCGAGCTGCATTGTTTTTGGGGGTGGGTATTGTTGCATCGCAGGGCCCAAACAGCATACGAGCACAATAATTATGCAAGACAAGTACGGTCGGACCTAGGGATTAATAATATCGAGGTCGGCTCGGCGAGGGTACCCTAATGTTCTTCGCGTTTGGTGGATGTTCTTCTGCATCCTCGGAGAGGGAACCCCTCGGGTGTTATTCAGTTTGGCCAGCGGAGGGTCTCACGTTCTTGAGGGATGTTATTGTATCCTTGGTCCGGCTGTAATGTATTTGCCCCGTCTTGGAAACCATCGATGTTTTGTCTCCCGCCATGGGCGCAAGTTGAGTCAGGGGAGGCGCAAGCTGGATCGGACCTGCCATGGGAAAGCCTGGCCTTAGCCAAGTGCCTTTCTCGATTTCCTCCTGTGGCTTCTGGCAGAGCCCACCATTTCGGGGCAGCTCCTGCATCGGGGGGCGGTGCTCAACGGCACGCCGCGCTCCACTTCAAGTTGCGCCTCGCCTTCTGCGTGAACGGGAGCGGCTCGCCGGAGATGTGGCTTGAA